TTACAAATACTCGTGTATTTTACCACCTTTTGCTGAGGACATAAATAAATAATTTCAATTATCAAACTAATCAGGTGCAATTTTACTAACAAGAAACTAAATTTTTTTTATAAGGAACAAGAAACTAAATGAGCATAATCAGGAATAAATTTGTGTCATACTTAGAGCACCGTCGTCCGAATGGGAAGCAGCGTCAAAAGAATGTGGACATATGTAATTGTTTATCTAATAAAAAACATAAATTGTTAATCAATCAATCTATGAACAACTGTTTAACTATGAAAATATGGCATGAATGAAACTTACCGGATTATGAATCATTTTTCGCGGTGAATCATCGACCAACAGTGTATTTAGGGCGTTAAAATCAGTAAACTCGTTCCAAATATCATTGAGATCTTTACAGTAGGTAAACTTATCTTCTGTTTTGCACTTACTTTGATCCTGTTTACAAACAGTCAAACATAAATATGTAGAAATCTTAGAGAAATTAAAGTTAGCAAAGTGTAATGACAATCATCTTACCCAAACGAATAGAAAGTGGTCAGAGAACAAACGTAGTTTATCAAGTACACGGTCCATGTTATGCCTAAGATTGTAATCAAGTTTGAATGTTAACATTTAATTGTATATTAACGATTTTGGCTATAGTAATTTGATTTTCTCAATAGTTCTAACCTCATCTTGGATGACCAAGTGGCAACAACAAAATTATGTAAACAAAATTGCATAAATTCGTATAATCCATTTTTGAGGATAACATCTGCAACATGAAGAAAATGAGATTAAAGTTGTAAACTTATATGTTAAAATAATGGATACAAATTAACAGAATTGAAACCTTCTGGATGTCTTGAGATGTAGGCAAGGATACCATTGACATAAAAAATTACTAGTTTTCTTGCAGGCGGCGTTGCAGACACGATATACTTGTTTGGATCATCATCGTCATATTTAGAAACATAAATAATTAATTACCTAACTCGTTTGATGTCGTTGCCGTAATTCATCACGCAACATGGAGACTTCATCGCGCAATGATAAAATATCGGCTCGCATTTCGCTCACAAGGGAATCAATATGCTCCCGAAAATTAACCATGTATTCCATCACTGTCGTAATTATGACATCCTGTCCAACTTGAGCTTCTGGAGATTCTACAGCTTCTTCCATCATTGCGTCTCCCATTGGTTGGTCATCTTCATTGTCCTCCCTCTCTAGATCTAATCTGACATCCTTGACACGCTTCCAACCGAATTTTTCAACAAAATCATATCTCGCTTTTTTAACAAAAAACATTTCAATCTTGCGGGTTAATCGAACAGGGGAGTCAAGCGAAAAATCAACTTCTTTCTTATTCAACAGATGGGTGATGACACATCTATATGGTAGTGAAGTTGAAATTGATGTTCCCTTTGTGACTATATATACAATTGTATTAAAAATCAGTTTAGCAATGTTTGGAGCCGTTTTGGGTTTGGATTTATACTTTGCTATCCACCAATAATCGCTGTCTCAAATCATTGAATATTTTCCCCCACTAGGCCGAATAAACCAAGTCAGCATTTTGTGAAACACTCTAGACTCTAGATCTAGGTGAATTGGGCTATTTTTAGCAACCCGTTTAATTGTAAACCAATCTACATCATTTTCATCTGAATCCCCTTTATTCGCTACACCTAAACCCTTCACAATAGTTTCCGGAGATATATATATATCCTTCCCCATGACATGGGTATTAATTCCTATTATATTACGCTTATTAGGCTCATACTCGAAGAAAGCATTGTTGTAGAAGACTCTAACTAGGTTGGGTTAATATTTTGGTTCTACACCGAGGAATTCAAGCCAACCCCAAGATATAAACGTGGATTTAAAACTAAAAGCATATTTATCATCTAACAAGAAACCCAAGTCAATGAGACATTCGGGATGAATCTTCCTTACTTTAAAACTCTTTTTCCATCTTTCTTTCTCCGCATCAGATCTAAAGTTGTCAGTTTCGAACTACCTGATTTCCTCAGAAGGACGATTGTTTGAGAAGGAGGTTGTGGTTGAGAAGAACTGGGTTGGGAAAAGGTGGGTTGAGAAGAGATTTGAGAAAGACCCCGCTTCCGACGCTGACGTTTTAAAGCCATTTTGGGTGTGGATGCTGTTACATTGGAACAAAAACACATTAAGGAAAAAAAGACTAATCTGTAAATCAAACAAACCCTAATTTATGGCAAAATATCAAAAAATCTACCTGAATATATGATCGTAACAGTTATGAAAGCTGGTATTCGTCGGAGTCGATGAGTTCTTTCTTGCCTTTAGGTTTAGGGTTTTTTGATTTGGAGTTTGTATCATATTTATTAATAATGAATGAAAAAAATGAGTAATTTAAAAAGGTATCGACACAAGTTAATAATGTGTCGATACATTATGCTAACCTGTTTTCAAATTAAAGCGGTACACTTAGACCGGTTACATTACTACCTATTACATTATAATTATGGGTTTCGATGTTTATGGGATCGACACTTGTTATAAATGTATCGACACTTTTTAGTGCACTTGGTTTTGAAATACATTCTGGACTAAAAGTATCGACACTTGTTTGATTTAAAATCGGTATATTTAGACCGGTTATATTGCTAATTTACCTAATACATTATCATTATGGGTTTCGATGTTTTTGGGATCGACACTTGTTATAAATGTATCGACACTTTTTAGTGCACTTGGTTTTGAAATACATTGTGGACAAAAAGTATCAACACTTGTTGGATTTATGTCGATACATTCTGGACCAAAAGTATCGACACTTGTTTGATTTGTTTCGATACTTTTTGTACACCTGTTTTCTAAAAAATCGGTATATTTACACCGGTTATATTGCTAATTTACCTATTACATTATCATTATGGGTTTCGATGTTTTTGAGATCGACACTTGTTATAAATGTATCGACACTTTTTAGTGCACTTGGTTTTGAAATACATTATGGACTAAAAGTATCGACACTTGTTGGATTTATGTCGATACTTTTTGTACACATGTTTTCTCAAAAACCGGTATATTTAGACCAGTTATATTGCTAATTTACCTATTACATTATAATTATGGTTTTCGATGTTTTTGGGATCGACACTTGTTATAAATGTATTGACACTTTTTAGTGCACTTGGTTTTGAAATACATTCTGGACCAAAAGTATCGACACTTGTTTGATTTTTGTCGATACTTTTTGTACACATGTTTTCTCAAAAACCGGTATATTAGATCGTTATTGCTAATTTACCTATTACATTATAATTACGGTTTTGATTGTTTTTGGGATCGACACTTGTTATAAATGTATCGACACTTTTTAGTGCACTTGGTTTTGAAATACATTCTGGACCAAAAGTATCGACACTTGTTTGATTTGTGTCGATACTTTTTGTACACATGTTTTCTCAAAAACCGGTATATTTAGACTGGTTATATTGCTAATTTACCTATTACATTATAATTATGGTTTTCGATGTTTTTCGGATTGACACTTGTTATAAATGTATCGACACATAAGTTACCTATTCTCTCATTAAACCGGTATTTTACCTATTAAGTTCCCAAACTTGGACAAAATGTTGGAATCAAATCTTTGTGTTTATTAATTTTGTCATTATTATATTCTATTTTTGCCACCTACATTGTAAATTTACCTATTACTTTAAAGTTATTGCATTTTGTAGTTATTGAACATACCTAAATATGGTATGGCCATTCAGTCCCGCATATGATGACAATTATTTTAGTGACATTTGGAATAATGCAGACAAAAAACATGACTCCTACTGTGTATAAGAAACATGTACAAAAAACATTTGGATAACTTTTCCCATCTCATACATAATTACATTCACATACAAAATTATAAATCGTATACAAAATTAAAAATCTTATACAAAATTAACCCTGCATTTACATCATCCCTTCCTTTTGTTATTCTTGTGTAGCATGGTAGTTTTTGTCATCTTCTCTCTTAGTTGATTTTGATTGTGGCTTACGAGATCGTTTAATATTCCCATACGATCCCATTCTCTAACAACCTATATTCAAATTGTCAGTACGTTAAGTATTGTAGACCACAGTATTCAATCTACGCATTTTAACAATTTAACCGCAAATAAATTTTTAATTCTACTTACAAAATCACAAGTAGCCCCTCTAGAACCAATCGATTCCATCCACATCATCACATAAATGCCGCAATCATGTCCATTCGATTGCTCGTTCATCTTATGCTCCGCGAATTTGAATCTTTGCAAGGGGAAATTTCCTAGAGATCCACATGCTTCTACCCAAATGCGTTTCTTATTATACCTATCTAATATTTTCATCTGCATTAAAAAATATGAAGTTATGATCTAAACAAATTATGCATTATAATTGACATAATTTCCTTTCATACATACCAATATCTTAGCATCATTCACTCTCTGTTTAGCTGCTTCAGATGTAAACATACTATCATATACAGTTGTAACACGGTCTACCATATCCAACGCCAACAGATACCAATGTAGCCAATCATATATCCAAAAACATCATTTATGTCTATTCGTATGGTGTCTTACCTTCTCACACTTGGTGAATTTCACATAGTTATGCAACATGGTACCCTAAAAACTCGCAATACCCTCAATATTACAGGCGTTGTCCAACGCCTGTTTCTGCAATTACGTGACAATCATTATTAATTTACCGTCTATAACATTACTTTTCAACATTTATTAATTTAACTCACCGTTAAGTGATATGGAATGTAGCCAATCGTCTAGCCTGACTTTTTAGAATCGTAGCATACTGTCCAGGCGAGCAAATCAATAACCTAAAAAAATTAATTACACAATCAGAATATATTCAATAGGTTTTAACTTTTAATCGATGTCTACTTACCACACCGACAACCCATTCACTAGGCTTTAACGTTGCAACGTCGGATACACTAGCGTATTGATTTCCCATTGAGATTACAGAACATCTGTATAAATCATTAGGATTAATATATTGTCATGAAATATTTAAATATCACTCACAAAGCAATATATTTAACTTACCCCGATTCTAATCCACTATTCCATAAATAATCACAAATTTCAGCTTCGACCGGTTCAATTCTGCTTGGAATAACCGCTTTTTCAACCTACAATTTTGCATACAAATTTTAGTCACAACAACATGATAAAAATCAAATTAAGTTTTCTTTGATTCAACTTACCTTCTGCTTCTTCTTCTCGGGTGTAGGACATTCCGGATCCAAATCTGCATCTATAACACTCTCCGGTGTATAGATGTTAGTGACATCCTTTCTCCTCATTTCCTCTATCTTTTCTTCTTCCTCCATCTTCTCTTCTTCAAATTTTTTCAGTTCATCATATTTTTGCTCTACATAGCTCTTCATCTCTTTTATTTCACCCTTCATTTCCCCCCCTTCATCCAAGTTTTTCTCAACCACCTCCTTTAGCCCGTAAGTTCACTCCTCAATTCCATAACCTCCTTGACAACTACATCAATTTTTCCACCCGTCAACAGATTAAGTTCCCTCAACACCTCAACTTCATTCACCACTACATCTACCTTTCCTTCCACTTCCCCCTTATGCCTCTCAAGTGTCTCTTCGACTCTTGATTGTCTTTGATGAATATCAAAAATGTGTTTTTAATATCAGCCAATTCAGACATCAAAATGTCGAATTTACTCTGTTTTCCCTCACCGTAATCCCCCTGACCGTCATCCACCCCTCCAACCATCTCTTCTTCCTTCTCCACTGCCTCCTTTGCTTCCTCTTCCTCCTCTGCTTCCTCTGCCTCCTCTAACTCCTTGACAATAACCTTCAAAATTAAATTTGTATTAAGATATTGATTATATTCTTAATATTATTTAATTACATTTATTACCATTTCTAGCTTCCTCGGTCTATCCAACTTCAATTTTGCCATCACTTTAACCACCTTTTCCTTCCCCCATACATGGATGCGTGCCACTCCGTTTCTTTCATAAGCCGACAAACTATCACAGCCCGACCAAAAATCGAACAGTGCAACCTGTATTTATAATAAAAGTTATCATTTTATATAATAACTATACTATCATTTTATATAAAAAAACAAAAACATTCTTCAACTCAGTTACCTCTAAGATTGCTATGCACCCTTTGAGGTATCTCTGACTGCCCTTTTGAAAGGTGATTATTGATTCAATCAATCTCGAATGGACATATTCAGCCCAATTGAATTCACCCTTCAAGCCTTCATCGCAAATAAGCTTCATATCGTCCTTGTTCGTTGACGTATCACCCGTTGGACAAAGAAATATCCCGACAAGGTACAATAGAACTCGGGCCTTCAGGTCATTCCCCCCGTAAGATCCACTTTTGATATATTCTTCAACTTCAGGATATGCCACCTTCTGATTCAAACCATATTTGGAGGCAAGTGCTTTCCAGTTCTTACTCCTACATACTTCTACAACACTTTTGCCTTTGTTTTGTACCCCCAAGTGGCTACAGCAGTCGATACCCCCAAAGGGAATGAATAATCACCATATTTAGCAATACATTGTTTGACATCAAATTGCTCCGTCAAGGATTGACACAATTCCCTCCGAATTGGTCGATCCCCTACTCCTATCAATGATCCAAACCCCATTTCCCTCAGCACATTCAACTGATCCTTCTCTTTAAGGTGTTCAATTAATGAATTCACCATTTTTATGCTGCACCTTGTCGACACTTCCTACATTTTTTTAACAATATATAATGTTATTGTTCTTATATATCTTGTATCAACTTATTTACAAGTTTAATGAATACCTTCTTTTCATATGCTTTCATCCGTTCTTTGTATTTTTTTACTATTATTCCTTGACTGTATGATGTAAGGTTCCTTTTCAGCATCACTCATCGAATTCCATTTCAACCTCACATCTTTTGTCACCTAATATTAAGCATAAACGTTTCTTAATCAATACATTAACGCTAAATAATACTCAATGTCAATTTCATTTTACATACCGAACCGTTGTGTGTGCCATCTTCCTTCATCCTTTTGCATTCGACCATACTGTCAACATTTAAAATTTGTAATCAATTTAAAGTTCTTAAATACTTTAATCCAATTACCATTTCAACAATAATAACTAAAAGACTGATACTTACTAGAAGTACATATATCCACCCTGTGGTTGCTTTCCTCCCATTGACTTCATTTTTCCGTCACATATCAGTTTGCGCAAATCAAATCAAATCAAATACTGCTTACATACACTTTATTCAATATACAAAAATCAATAACCATTCTTTGTGGTAAAACTGTTGGTCTTCAAAAGAATTTGAATGGCCACTACAATAAGTGTCGGCACATTTATACAACCTAAAATATCATTTTCTACCTATATCATTTTTTACCTATAAATATTAAATAAAAGTATCGATTCGGTCCCAAATGCTTCTTTACTTCGAAAACCCCAAACAACAACACATAAAAACCCTATTTCTCATTACTGTAATAATAAAAAACTAGGGTTTCAACAATGTACCTTTCGATTCGACTGCAGCAACAAATAAACAAAACTTCACGTAGAAACGCCTTCTGAAATGCAACAACAATTACGCTTCGATTTCAAAAACTCTATTTATTTTCAGAGGAAATTTAGCTATGCATTTATATTTACACCGGATATGTTATTTATATTTAATCGATACAACTACCTAAGTGTCGATACTTTTATGTCAAGTGTCGATACTTTCGATAGGATATTTACCTATTTTTTGAAAGTATCGATAATTTATTACGTGTACTTATTAAAGTATCGACACTTTCAACATATCCGATAATCCTTTACCGGTTTTTTCATTTTGAGACCGGTTTTATCATATTTTTACCTATTATATTGTTATGGATCGATACATTTTTTAAAAGTATCGACATTTTATAGGCGCTATAACTTCTTCTCTTTTAAATTCATAAAATGTCGATACTTATATTAAATTATCGACACTTTCAACATATCCGGTAGCGTTTTACTGGTTTTGTCAATTTTGAGACCTGTTTTTATCATATTTTTACCTGTTATATTGTTATGGATCGATACATTTTTAAAGTATCGACACTTTATAGGCGTTATAACTTCTTCTCTTTTAAATTCCAAAAGTGTCGATAGTTATATTAAAGTTATATTAAAGTATTGACACTTTCAACATATCTGATATCGTTTTACCGGTTTTTTCATTGTTGAGGCCGGTTTTATCATATTTTTAGATGTTATATTGTTATAGATCGATATATTTTCATAAAGTGTCGACACTTTTTAGGCGCTATAACTTCTCTTTTAAATTCAGAAAGTGCCGATACTTATATTAAATTATCGACACTTTTAACATATCCGGTATCTTTTTTCCGGTTTTGTCATTTTTGAGACCTGTTTTATCATATTTTTACCTGGTATATTCTTATGGATCGATACATTTTCATAAAGTGTCGACACTTTTTAGTTTAATTTTAGAAAGTGTCGATACTTATATTAAAGTATCGACACTTTCAACATATTCGGTATCGTTTTACTGGTTTGGTCAATTTTGAGACCTGTTTTATCATATTTTTACCTATTATATTATTATGGATCGATATATTTTTTTAAAGTATCGACACTTTATAGGCGCTACAACTTCTTCTCTTTTAAATTCATAAAGTTTCGATACTTATATTAAATTATCGACACTTTCAACATATCCTGTAGCGTTTTACCGGTTTTGTCATTTTGGGACCGATTTTGTCATATTTGTATATGTAATATTGCTATGGAGCGATACATTTTTCATTTGTATCGACACAAACCGACAAGCTAAGTTTGTCGGTTGCCAAATTTTTTAATATTTCTTCATGATTTAGACCTACTACATTATTATTACTCAACATTTCCGGTAGCGCTAAACCGAATATTGTAAATATATTATAATGTATCCGGTAACGCCATATATTAGCCGTATATTAACCCACCTTTCCTGAGAAAATCCCAAGCTTATAAGGTAACTAATATTATGACTTTTAGTGGCTAAAACAAATGCAAACATCCAAAACTGAAATTATTAATACTCACCGCACTAAACATTTTATTCTTTAGATTCATATTGATATAAATACGCACTATTTTATGTTTATTGACGAATTTAAAATATTTTATGAGATAAATTTATAATATTTTAAAAGATAAAAATAAACTAACAATTAAAATTAAAAAAATATCTAAAATTAATATTTTCATAAGGAACAATATCCGGTTAGCCCCATTATTCCATCCCGAATATAACAGTAGAAAATCTAATTGAATAAAAGTATTTAAATATTTAACATGTTTTAGTATATACTTAAAAATGTACATATATATTGAAAGAATGGTACAAATATATAAAATATTTCTGTCTAATACACTAAACCATATAATAATATACATGAATAAAAATTTGGAAAAAAAAGTGTGGAAATTGTTGAATTTGACATATATTCCATAGTCAATCGTCGTCTTGAACAGTCAAAAGTTTAATTGTTTAATTTAAAGTATTTTTTCTTTTTCTTTTTTTAATTTTTTAACTTTTAATAAGAATAATTATGACATGTTTATCTATACTTTTGTGGTACGTTTTTCTCTACCTTTTGGTAGTTTACGGTTTTTTGCCGTTGTTTTCGTTTATTTTTTTTCTCAAAGTTAGATTTGACATCGTTACGACTGGTCAAGATGACACTTATTTGTTATCATTTTGATATTCTCTGCTTTTGACCCTTGGATTGGGTTGAATACGTTTTTTGCGCTTGTGGATAATTTACTCGTGTCGTTTGACTCTGATGTAGCAATTTCAACCTCTTTTGTGATTCGTTTGCTGATGCAGACATATTTTTTCGTATCTTTATTTTGGTTGAGCATTGATTAGGTTTTTAAACCTTTTCCTTTATTGTCCTAATGAGATTTAGGTGGGTAGATTTTGTTTGAATGGTTATAGGAAAATGTCCTAGTTATAATTTAGATAACGTTTACAGTTGTGCTCGTAAATCTTCATTGTAAATCTGAATATTTTTTATTTTTAATAAAACTAGCGGCTTTCTATAAAAAAAAATCATATCCGTATATTAGCAAGTTTTTTTACGTACAATTTATCATATACAGTATGCATGATAAAATAAATTAAGTAATTTGTTTTGCCTCTACCATTATCTATACGGACAGATTAATCTTAATTATCATATATATATATTTAACCGTTCGACCCTAATTTTGACATAAGGCTGTCATCGTCAATTTAATGAAAAATACATAATCTTTTACAAAACACAACATATATATGTTATCAATGTATTCAATACATACAATATTGTATCTCAAATTTATTATGATTGAATTGATTAACTAGAACAAAACAAAATCTAAAATTTACAAAGAGGTAGCTCTATTATAAGCTTCCTAAATGAATAAAGTAAACGAAAGAACCCTGACAAAATAAAATGTAAATAATATTGGATGAATTTTTTTTTCTCCATTAAGCCGAAAGGTGCTCTACCGTGAGACGGGTGACGAAGTTGATGAAGTGAAGCTGCAAAAACCAAGAAAAAAAAAGAAAGAAAATAAACAAGTGAAGTAAAGTCAATTAAGCAAGAAATTAAAAGAAATGAAAAATGAAGAAGAGAAAAACCTACTCCAGGATTTCTTTCCAGTAGGAAGCACCACCATCGGCTTCATCTTCCATAAGCAGCTTCTCCCAAGCCTCGTAGGTAGAGGAATCTTGTGCAGTCTCAGGAGATATTGAAACCAACCCAGGAAGTTGATTTTCATTTTGTTCAAAGGAATTGCTCAAAATCTGTTGATTTTGAGGGACTGCACCAGCATGAATGGGGATATTCTGAGGTGTTTGTTCAACTAGTCCTTCAAGTTGGTAGGGATTCCGTTGACTCGTGTTCATAATCTGCATTAGATTTTGAAGCAATTGGGCTTCGGCTAGTTGAGCAGCATCAGCGTGAAGTTTAAAAACAGTGTCCAGAGGGTTCGTCAAGTTGCCTAATTGAGCCACACAAAGCAGTTGTGTAATGTTCAAAAGGTGATCAAGATCAGTTCTTGGCTTGTGGGTGTAAGGGTCAATTCCCAGATTCAATAGCTTCCTCCGAACGTGTGTATTCCAAAAGTTCTTAATCTCGTTATGTGTTCGTCCAGGAAGATGAGCAGCAATCCTAGACCACCTGCAAAAAAAAAAAAACTTTTAAGAAACTTAAGCATGAGATATAAGCAAAAAAGAAGAAAAGTTATGTACTTGTTTCCAAGAATTGAATGAAGGTTGATGATAAGTTTCTCTTCTTCTTCACTGAATTTGCCTCTCTTGATATCAGGCCTCAAATAATTAGTCCACCTTAATCTGCAACTTTTCCCACATCTGTTTAAGCCTGCTTGCTTTGGAAGAGACCTCCAACTTCCATGGCCAGTTGTGTTGATGTAATCGACCAGTCTCTGATCCTCATCTGGAGTCCAAGGCCCCTTTTTCACGTTGGCATCATCAGCACAGCACGGAGACCTTCCCATTTCAGCTGATCACAGAGCTTAATTAATCTCCTCTTGGTGATTAAGGGCTGCTGAAAGAGTTTGAATTTGTGTATTTTAAGGGAGACGAGAGATGCAGGTGGTTTTTATAGGTGCATGCATGCGCTACGTGATTCAAAATTTAAACCATTGATGTCATTAACATTCTTCATTTGATTATAATATTTTTACAAGTTTCCCACGGAAAACAAAGACCGGGAAGTAACCTAGCAGCACTACAGAACCTGATCGCGATGAAAATTTTAAATTTTTATATAATTTATGTTTCTTATTTATATTTTAATGATAATCTATTTTAACTTTTAAAATTTTATAAATTCTTCTTTAAAAATCAAATCTTATGTACTCCTTGAATATCTAATTATCTCATATTAACTAGATTAATTGTTTTTAATAATATGAGGTGATTATAATATAATATATGTTATTATCTTTCTTAATTATTTACAACACATACATAACCTACAATCGTAGCTATTCATTTAGATAAAACTATCTAGGGCTTATTTTTGGCCAACAAGAAACCTTAACCTCAATTTACAATTATATAATACAGAGTTGACAACTTGAGATGTAGTAGATTACATTATTGACTTGCAAAAGTTAAATATTAGTAATTGATGATAATCTCAGGTTAATCTATTTTTCCCCAACCTCTCATGCCTTAGTTAATATACAATTTTGTTGATGGATTATATCAAGTAATTTCAAAGATCTTATTTATGTATAGTAAAACTAGAAAGACTTGGGGAAAGAAGAAAATAGAATTTCTATGTACAATATTAAAAATATCTATAATCTATGGAGTCTGAAGTATTTTTTAATAAAAATAAGTTTTCATTAAATAAAAAAAGGTAACAACACAATCTCAATATAAAAATTTAAAAGGCATGAAGAAAAATAAAATTAAAATCTTCGCTTGAATACATACTTCATATTTAAAAAGAAATCAGTAACTATCAATATTTCAATGTGCCTATTCGAACTTATACACAATATTGATGAAGGTATAAAGATAGGAGAAACTAATATAACTTATTACTTCATGAATGGTTCTGAATGCATCAACAATCTACATCAAAAGGGTATTTAATTATACGAGATCATTGACATTTTCTGATCAGGATGTGTGTCATGATGAATGCAACATAAAATGTCAAACTATCATAATGATAGAGAAAATTGTGTCATAAAAGCTTTTGAACAGTTACACCGTAAAAGCAGATAAAAACAAACTTTTCAAGAATATGTGACAAGAAAGAAATCAACACGAAAATGATGTTTTATTTAGATCTAAATAAAAAAATATACAAAAATTAAGAAAAAGAGAGATGACGACATTAGGTCGTCGCCTAGGAAGAAATTTTAAATTTTTTTTAAAAAATCACTCAAGAGAGAAAACTAAGACAAAAACTCATTTTAATTAATATTTTTATTATCTTTTAAATTGATAAAATAGTTTCATTATTTATAATGTTACAATATTCATATTATAATAATATTCAGCACTTATTATTAAATATTGAATATTGGAAATATATTTTATTAAAATTGAATATATATTTTTTTATTCATTTTAAATCACATTTTCACTGTATTTTTTTCTCATTCAAATGAACAATTGTTTTTGGCTTAATACGAAAATAAATACCTGACCTATGCCTCAAAAAGCATGTTAAAGAATAAAGAATATTTCGTTAAAAATAGGTGCCTAACGTTTTCCGGTTATACTTTTAGGTGTCTACTTTATTTTTTTAATTTTTTAATAATAAAAAAATTATTTTTAATTTAAAAGAAATGTTTATTTTATTTATAAAAAAACCCAACTTTTTACTGAAATTATAAAAAACCCTAAAAAAACTAAAATCTCTCATTTCAACCCCCATTACCAACCATCGTTGGTCATCTCCGGCCACCATTGTCATCACCGAACGGTCACCCACCCATCGTCACCCACCCATTAATCAATCGTCATCCTTACTGTCACCCAAAATCCCAAAATCTAAAATCCCCAAAATCTAAATATCTAATTCTCAATTTCAATTTCTTATCCCAAACAATCTCCGGCCATCATCGTCGTCATCGTCGAACGGTTGGGTTTTGATCACAATAGCATGGTGGTTCGAATGGTGGTAGCGGTGTGGCTTATGGATGTCATAATCGACGACGAATGACGACATTGTCTTAAAATCTGAAAAAGCGTTGAACGCATCTCCACTGCAAATGGTAGCATATTATGACAAAATGTAAATGGGGTTTTAGGGTCAATGCTGATGATGATGACAGTGGCGGTGACGGTCACCGCTGACTGGTTGACAACTTTTGGAATGAGGAAAGGAGAGGGGAGAGCACGCTGGTGGGGGTTGTTCAATTTTTTTTAACAAAAATATATTTTTATTTTTTTAATTTTTAAAATTCTCAAAATTATTAGAATGTGAAATGTGTCACTTAACGGAGATATTTAACGACGGTTAATGACCAGACACCTAAAAATATACCATTTTAAACATCATACACTTATTTTTAGCAAAAAAATCTTTATAACTAATTTTTTTTCGAGGCGTAACTCGATTACTTTTTTGTAATAAGCATTTTTTGAATTAATCATTGTTATCCGATATATTGACCTACTAATCCAGATCGGGTTTTGCAGAGGCCCATTATGGGGGTGACCCTCCCAACCCAGTTTGCTCCATAGTCGAGATTTAAACCACTGACATTGCTTAAGAAAACTAGTGCCTCGTCCTACTAGACCAACTGGTTGTTGGTCAAATGAACTATTTCATTGTTATATTTAATTACCTTTAATATCATATTATATTTTTGGCATAACAATTGACTTCTAAGCAGCTTCCTTAAAATCTGCCCTCACCACACCAGTCAGCAAATTTGTCAGTTTCTAGCAATATTTGACATCATTAATTTCTTAAATGCTCAATGTTCTTATAATTTGATTCCCCCCAGCAAAAAAATCTGCTGCAATCTCCAACTGCTCTTTCAATATTTTATTGATACATCACCCAATCGATAAAGCAGCAGCCTTTCCTTTTTTGAAAATTAGACTTTCTTTTTTTAGTTATAGTCAGCTATTGTAAGGCAATTTTGATGGAATAATATGATGGAAGAAGAAAATAATACAAATAGAGTGTTGTAGATTTTTTTAAAAAAAATAAGATGATATAAATAATGCACAAGAAATATTTTCAGATCATTTGACATTTTAAGAAGAAGTCGGGAAGATAGAGCGTCTTTCCAAGATTATATGCAGTGTGAAAGTCAACCTTATTAACATATTAATGTTGAATCTTTCCGACGTCTTTTCAAAAACGTCAAATAATTCAAATGTCTATTCCATACACTATTTAAATAATTTTAATTAGAAAATAATTTTTCTTTCGTCACATATGAGCAATTCTTTTTTGTTCACTGCATTATGTAAAGAAAGTTGCCGCGATTATCGTTCTCTTCAAGCAACATGTGACTTTGAAATTACAGTAAAATAGTTGCCGATGTGATTAAAACTAGGATATGGTTGACTACAATTTCAATTCAAATGAACACGGCAAATATAGCAATTTGAACTGAACAATCGGATTTTATATTAGAGATTTCACGTTTGACTTGCTATATGCATTAATATGTCAAAACACAACGATTTCTGACTTCAAACCAAAATTTTACCAACCCTTAAAAATCCAGGGATAAAACAAGATTATTTAAGCTAATCCATTGTTTAAGAAAACTGTTAGAATAGTTCATCAACTAAAAGAGTCGAGAGGAGATAGATTGACCTTTAAGAAATTATGAAAGAAAATAATAATAATACACATAATAATTTATAGTGATTTGATATTCCTAACAAAGTATACTTTTAATACCTTAACTTTTCAGCATTGAGAGTTCTCTTAATTTTATTAATTTGATGAACAATTGAGGACAATATTTAACCTTAAAATTCCCTTAAGATTTCTATTCAGACCATAACATTTAAACTCTCTAAAAAAAGACAAACAAATATGGAAACAAAGAAATCGTCCTCACTTGATCTGAATATCCGTAAATTAAACACACCCGAATATACCTGAGCAAAATGAATGCAATAAATACTTGCAAAGTGTTTTACAAGAAAAATGAAAAAAATTAGCTTGAAAAGTTAGAACCAAATCATATTAAATATGAAAACAACAACCATAATCTAGCAATATCAAGAATAAAAAATATTAGACGCGGAAGCGTACCTGAATTAATTGGTATGTTGAAATCCTTGAATCTTTATTTGGTTAGTGATCTTCCAAGAAGATAGATTTCCCTGAACTATAAACACTCTAACAGGGATATGAGTAAATGATGTGAACCTAATCAGTCCAACTTTCTTCTTGATTTGATCAAATCATTGATGCTCACCAATGTTGATTCTAAGGGAGTTATACCTCCTCTGCTTGCTCATTTATGCACTATATCTTATCATAAGTTTGCATTTGCCTCTTAGGAAATGTTTATCATATGATATCATTCATTGCATGATTTTTACTAGTACATGAATTTGCATGAGCTTTATTAGTTGCATGACATTAAATTGAATGAATAAATAAGTACGGTACTTCATTCAAGAATGTACTTTAATTATGTTCATTTAAGCATGTAGTTTCTTTAAAGCAAGTTACTTCATTCAAGTGTGCTCATCATTCAATAAAGCTAGTTCTCTAATTAAATTAGTTCGTTCATTAAACTAGTACATTAATTAAATTGTCTTATTTAATGTTTTTCATGGCATGTTTATATTTGTTTAGCATGAACATTTGCTTGTTTTGTATCTAGGTGCATGAAGGGAGATAAATAGTCACAACACATGAAAGAATTTCAGTTAGTTTGTTTTCCATTTATGGATTGGATACATATGTTTATGGTTCCTGAAATAAATTGAAAAGCATTCCTTTATCTCTTAGCTTTCTAACGCCTTTTGAATAACCTCAATCTGATATCGGGAGCTTGAGCTATGATTGATTTACCAAAAACAGTGCATAGTAGTAGAATTTTCATTACG